TGCTATTGTAACTACCAGAAACACTGCCCAGTGAGGGGCTAGAAACCCCTGAGAGTTTTCTTACAATTCATAGATATGAGGGACGTGGTGACCGTGAAGGCAATAACAGAGCTTTGTTGAATAAGAGCATGAAGACTCATGAAACTTGTTCCTCTGGCTCTGCATCTCCAAGGCTCACCTGGGTGTGGCTTTGCTGACCGCCCAGCTATGTTCCCTGAGTTCCAAAACTGCTTGCTGTTCCCCTTGTATGTCCCCTCACTGCTTTCTCCAGGCCATCTTTTGGCCCTAGGTAGAAGCTGTAGTCGTTGCACCTCCCCTAGGGTAGGGAAGAGAGGAAGGTCACATCCCACTCATCCTACAGAGACTGCCCTAAAGCCTACACACTTCCTCTACAAGCAGGTCACTCCTGCTGGGGAAGTACAAATACATTGTATCCAGCCAAATGACCAAAGCTGAAAAAGAGTAAGAATGAATATTTGATTGGCAGCTAACAGTTTGGGGTTTGGGAAGGTAGGGAACTGATCCAGACAACCCAAAGTGTTTACAAAATAACAGAGGTGACACCAAGCTCTTGAAGAGACTTCTTTAGCCACTAGGCAAAGGTGAACATATTTACAGCTTGTTTTATTCTTGTGGGGAGTAAATAAATATTGGTTCAGATAAGCCACAAGGTTAAGTGTGACAAAAACTGTATTGACTTGATGTCAGTCACTACCATGGGAAATTGCTGTGCCTGTGGTTTGTAATATCTTGTCATTTGCTAATAGCCATAGTATTAAAAAGGGCTAACCAACAGATTGTCGTTGTTTTAGAACAAAATCTAATCAAGTCTCAAATGAAGGCATTTACTCAGTGGTCCCCTCTGCCGAGGGTATTAGAGAAAATTGAGTAAAGGCCCGGGGACTTGGGAGTGAGTCAGACCAGAGTTCCAAGCCCAGCACTGTTCTTCCCAGCTCTGTGATCTTGGATAAACTTAATCCCAGACCGCCTTGGTTTCCTCGGCTGCAGAGTAGGGCTAGAATATCTCCTCTGCATAGTTATTGTAAAGATCCGAAATGTGTTTATGACCAACACTAGCTCTGTGGGTAGCATAACAAGTAATGGGTAATCTTATAAGGATGAAGTTTTCAGCTGTTAGCCATTTGTTCCTTACCTGAGACCAGGCTAGCCTCGAACTCACAGAGATCCACCTGCCCCTGCCTCCTGCGTGCTGGGATTAAAGGCGATCACCGCCACTGGCTGACTTTTACATTTATAAAGAATTGTACATTTCGGTATTTCTGACAGGGAATTTCAGATGTTCTCACCACAGACAATGATCAAGTATTTGAGGTGATGTTAGTGTTAAGAAAACTCCTCTCCGCTGGTGCACAGAAATCCAATCAGGCCGAATTAAACCAAATTAAAATGCCCATGTTTTATTAAATGCAGCATTCTCAGGTGGCCGAGAGCATGGCAGGGGAGACAGAAAACCAGGGAACACCTGCAAAACCTGGGACCACGTGTTCCTCCTTGGGTGCCCCACTTAAATACCCTTTGGAAGTGGTCCTGACCTTCCCCCAGGGAGGGGTCAGGACCTGGCATGCTGGGATTTGGAGTCCAGACCGTCCGCAACTCCCAGGCTAGGATGGATACCAGGGACATCACAGTTAATTCATTTGATTTACTTATTCCACATTGCATTCGTAAATCATAACAAAACTTTGAACCTTATAAGTATACAGCTATAAATGGTCAATTTAAAATAAAATAGTTTTTAAAGAAAAAAAAACCCGAGAGTCCATTGCATACCTATATTACCCTCAGAGCCAAGTCTGCTTCCTGGCCCTTTTCAGGTGGATTTGCTGGTCCCAAAGGCCCGTTCTCTAGAGGCAGGTGGGTGTCGCTAGAGCTGGCAGGAGAGGTTCAGATGTCTGCTTTGGCTCTCAGGGAAGGCAGTAGCAGTTAACGTGTGTCAGAGAAGACTAGATTTCTCTTTTCCATCTCTGAGTTCTAGAGACCTGGCCAACCGAGGAGTTGCAGTACTAGAAAGAGTGAAGGCTTGTGCTGGCGTGGGTACAGTGCCGCCTTTGTCCCGCTGCACACTGGCGCTCAGTCCTCCCTTCCTGTCGCCTCCCGAGGCCTTTTAGACAGAGTCCAGGAGATCCTGCTGCTGACCGCATCATGTGGAGCTCAGCCTCCACCCAGGGTCCTGGGTCAGCCAGTCACAGAGCAGGGGTGAGCGGAGGAGCCCCTGCTGCTCTGCCTTTGACCCTCTTTCTTACACATCAGGGGAAATCATGGCCTTCCCGCGGAGCTGTTGCTCAGACCCACTCTCCAGCATGGCCACTGTGACCTAGAAGGGGGAGAGCTGGGAAGGGCCATGGTGCTCTACCTGGCCACATCGACTACAGTTCTGACATGCTCTGGTCCAAACGCTTTATTTCATAGCAGTTACATTTCCTGTTCCTGCTTCAGCAGCAGACGAGAACTATGAAGAGACCCTTTTGAAGGTGGCAGACCTGGAGCTTGTGAGGACAGGTAGCCTGCCCTTATGACCCAGCACGTCAGGGGATATGCAAGAATGAAAGCAGTGTCCCTGTGCTCGGGCATCCTGCCATGGTCCCAGAGTGCCAGCTTCCAGAGGGAGCTGAGCTCAGAGACCTTTATCACTGGTGATCAAACCTGGTTGTCTCTGGGGCTTCATTGTTGTTCTGATGACCAGGTAGATAAGCCTTGAGTGACAGAAAAAGAATGCATTGACTGAGTTCACACCCAGGCTCCTAGTGCCACTCACGTGGCCACGGCCATGAGTCAGCCTCAGCAGGGAGGTAAAGGAGTCCTTGCTGCTCTGGGCTCGCCTGGTTTTTTGCACTTCAGCATTCCTACCTGATGTGTGGGACATTTTTGTCATTCTCCAGCAGGCTGCCGTGAGGAATAGCCCCTCCTTAGGCCTGTCTCCATCTGTTTACATGAGCTGCCCAGCTGTCTGCTTCCCCCAGCACTGTCTGCCTGACCGTTTAGAAGGCTGGCAGGAGCTGCCTTATAGGGAGGCAGGGAGGCGATGGGAACAGCCTCGGGGCTCCACGTGCTGTGGTCAGTATGTACACGGTTCCTGGGCCCCACTCTGCAGACCCTTGGGAAGAGGTGATGTGGGCACTGGCTTCTGGCCATATAGCTGGTTTCTGGGTGCCTCTAGCCTGCTGTGTCCTGTAGGGTGCAGCTCTAAGAAATATGATGTTCCTGCTGGGAACGGCAGATGAGTTGAGGATGGTCTTGGCCTGTTCTCTGTCTCAGGTGTTCTACGATACTCTCCCAAGTATTTCTTTCTTTTTCTGTCAGCCCACAGTGCGCCAGTCTGATACTTGTGACGAGGCCACGCTTGGGAATGCTGGGTGGGAATCTTCCCTTGACTTTGCTCAGATCATTTCACATGACAGGTTGTAAGTGTATGTATACACGTGTCCTGACCGGAATAGCCATTAGCTCTTCTGGAAGCAGCCTACCCGACTGAGGAGAATGTTGTGGGTGTTGTGGGCAGCAGCCTTCAAGCTAAGGTCCATGTGATCACAGAGATCTGGGACTAGACACCTGGACACCTGGCGTCTGCTTGTTCCACTCCCCTGTCTGTCAACACTGAACTCTTTTCCCCAGAGCTTGCTACCTTCTGAACCCAGCTTAGCAACCTGGAGAAGTCTGGGCCACTCCTATGGCAGGAAGCTGCCCTACATTCGGACAGTAACCAGTAGAACTTGATACTGACGCCAGAGTGTAAAAATAAACACCTCGTACAGTTCTGTCTTAATCCATCGCCAGCAGGGTTGCTATTTTTAGCCTTTAGGCCAAACAGGCAGCTGTGATTGGGCATACACCAGCCTGGGCAGCCCTCTCCTACCATCTTGGGATCAGGCTGTTCCTCCCCTTCACCTACTGGGAGCTGAGCTGGGGCCTCAGGAGAAGGACCTTCAGTCTGGGAACATGTCTTACAGCAGGTAACACTAGCGATAGTGTGGTTGGTGTCTTTGCTCTGGGAGGTAGATTGAGACTCCAAAAGGCTACTAGTGTAGATCTGATGGACACGGATCGCCAGGCCCAGTTCAAGGAGGCAGGGAACGACATGACCGTCCTTCCGTTCCCTTTGACTCTGTTTGTGTTTTGACAGTGTCTCCCTCAGTCTAGGTGGGCCTCAACCTTGCTCTGTGGCCGAGGATCACTGCCTCTTTGTGGCTGAGGATGGCTGGGTTTACAGCCGTGCATCAGTAGCCCGCTTAGTTCTCTGACTAGTAGATAATTTTCCCACAAATACCTCAGACATAAGGCTTTAGATTTCTCTGGAAACTGGGCGAGGAGAAAAGAAACAAGAACACTGGTCATCTGCCAGAGACAGAGTAATAATAGTGACATTGCTGAGCACTGATGTCAGGTATGACAGACTCTGTAACTCTCTGAGAGAATGTCACAGCAGTTTACAGCCCAGAGTTTCCCAGAGTTCCATAGCGGGTAGGCTGTGTCTCAGATTGGAACTGATCTTAGCACCAAATCCTTGCTCTGTGCATTTCAGACCCTGACCTCTTGAATCCTTAGGACAAAGCCAGATGCCACACACCTGCATGTTAAATTGTTTGTTTAAGTGAGCAAGACAAAACTCACGCTAACCTTGGTCTTCTAACTAAAGCAAACACCATTACTGGTGCATAGAAAGTCTTTGCTGCCCCCTACAAAGTCCCAGTGCTCTGCCCAAGCGTGGAGAGCTAGCCATCTAAATTCTACTGGCAAATAAGGCACCTCCAGGGCGGGCTTCCACTGCCGAGAGCCTGGCCAGGTGAGCCGGGTTCCCTAGAGAAGCCTGTGACAGCAATCACGCTGAGGCAGGGGCATGCTTGGAGGTTTCCTTGAAAAGCTTCCCTCTGCGCTCTCTCACCTCCCCCACCCCCCACCCCGGCCCCACAACTGGTTTGTGTAATTCAATCTAGATTCTTCTCATAGCCACTTCTCTTGCATATGTGCCCTTTTATTTACAGCTCTGGACAAACCGATTGGCCAGCAGTCTGGCAGCCTGCACGCTTCAGTCCACTGTCTGGGAGGAGGGGGAGCAGGGAACACTGGAGCTGTGCTGCCCAGATCCCAGGAGCCAGAAGGCACTGCCAAAGGATAAGCAAGGTGTTGCCCACACTGGACAGTTGAAGCGGTGGAGGGGCATTGTTTGATCCAGCTGCCTTACTCCCACAAATCAGTGCTTTAAACTGCCTCTCAGCAAAGCAGGCCACTCCGGCCTCAGCACCCTATTCCTGTCTCTAGTCTTGGTGGTTTCTTGCTTTCTCACTTCACCTGCATCTGACATTGGGAGACTGTCCTGCGGCCTCGTTGATGCCTGCCTTCTCCATCCCTTCTTCTGAAGAGCTCTTTGCCAAGGTAGGACCTGAATCTTGCCAAGTTCCCCGAGGTCCTCCTCTCTCTCTAACCTGGCATACCCGCAGAAGGAATAGGGTTTGCAAAGGGCTCTCGATCTCTGGAGATGTAACTGACATTACAAGCCGGCCTCTGAGCCTGAGGGGTGTGCCCGTACAGTCTGGAATGAAGAGGGCGGGAAGGAGGCTAGACATTAACACCCTGCATAGGACCTTTGGATTCGGTTTACTTTATGATTATACCTGAAAGGAACCCTAAAGGGTCTCCAGATGACCAGTTGCTAGAAGCTGAGCTAGGGAAGGGTGATGGCCTGATGGGAAAGCAATGCACCCAGGCTGGACCAGTGGGAAAGGCTGTCTTACTAGGTGTAATCCCTTCCCTGCAAAAAGAGATCCTGGAGCAAAGCTCAGTTTACTATCAGGTTTTTGTGAAATAAAGAAGAGCAATTCTTGCCGGTAGTGGTGGTACACATCTTTAATCCCTGCACTCAGGGAGGAAGAGGCAGGTGAATCTCTGTGAGGTCGAGGCCAGCCTGGTCTACAGAGTAAGTTCCAGAACAGCCAGAGATACAGAGAAATTCTGTTTTGAGAAACAACAACAACAAAAAAGAGCAGTTCTTGGTCAGCACCGGCGGCGTCTTGCTCTTTGCCTGGTGTAATTGCCCAGCACTGCAGTCTCCAGTTATTGCACTGGGGCCTCGGGAGCTCAGCCACGGCCGAGACTAAGAGGCTGGGAACCAGCGTGAGTTCTGTCACGGGTTCTTTCCATTAGCGATATTTTAAAGGTGCTGCACATTGTGGTTCATAAGGAAGTACAGACTCAGGGAAAAGACGATGCAGCCACACCAGGTCCGCGGTTCTGCTGCAGCGCCAGGCCTTTGGCAGAGGGCTTGCCTTTGATTGTTAGAGGCAGCACACACGAGGAGCTCAAAGCAGAACAACGTCTGTGCTTCGAAAGAGGACACTATATTAGGGAGGCCTAATAAGGAAGCAGCTGGCTGTCTGGGACAGCCCTTCCAGAACACCCCCAGCATTCTGGCTGGCCTTGCTTAGAGTCCAAAGTAACGTGAAACCAGTTAAGAACAGTATCCTGTTCAACTAGGAGCTGTTTCACTGCCCAGAGGGAAGTCAGACGACCTTGTGGGTGTTGGCTCCATTCCAATTGTAGAGGCAGACTCTTGAGGCCAGGGCCAGGTGTGCTAGGGCACCTGGCAGCTTGTTTATTTTCCTTGTTACTTGGCCACTGATATCCACTATCAATACCAGTTCTTAAATCTCCAAATTCTCTGAGCATCTCAGGGACAAGCGCTTTCCTCTAGGGAAGGCTGCACCTTTGTCAGTACTCAGGGCCTCTGAAGGCCCAGAACCAGAGTCAGGGAAGGGGCTTCTACGAGAGAACACTCATAAATTCACGGGCAGCATGAAGCTTATTTCTGCTCCGGAAAGCCAGTTTCATTAACAGGTGATGTAGGAGCCGTGCAGAAAGAGGTGGTTTCTTTGAGTATTTTTGTGTTTGTATGTGTACATTTGTGGGTGTGCGGAGCCCCGAGATCCACGTCATGTGTCTTCCTCAGTCACTTCTTCACCTTACTGTTTTGAGACAGGGTTTTCCACTGAACCTGGAGTTCACCTACGAGGCTAGACTGTCCAGCAAGCCCAGGGTCCTCCTCCTTCCCTGGCTCGGGAATTACAGGCATGCTGCCATCATGTCTAGCCTTTTACGGACCTGAATTCAGGCCCTCGAGCTTGCGTGGCAGCTTCACTGAGTCACCTCCCTGGCCCCAGAGGTGACTTCCTTTAGTCATTTATCTCGCTCTTCATACTCTCAAGTCTCATCAAACCGTGTGTGGGCCTATCTTTACCTTTGCCCTGATGTTTCTGGAATGTTTTTCTTTAAATGGTAGAATCCCTTTGAATTCTATTTAGACTCCCCACAGTGGGAAAAGGAAGTTGGGGAGCATGGGGGTTTAGCGTCCCATCTTCAACCAGAGCAAACCTATTTTGTGTATTAAGGCTTGGGGAATACAACTGAAATCCAACTGTATCATGTTCCCTAGCATAGTGCTGCTCTGCCCTCTGTAAGGCATAGCGACAGTGATCTCAAACTGGGTCCCTTTCCGACACCTCTAGCACAAGGCAGTCCCATAGATACTCACAGTGGGCTCCTGGAGGCTGGACGGTGGCTCTGTCAGGGAAGCACTAGCCCTGTACACATGAGGATGAGGGCATGAGTTGAATCCTTAACACCTCTGTAAAAACTGGATCCAGGGACACGCCTGTCATCCTGGCAGCAGGGAGGCAGAAATGGGCAGATCCTTGGGGCTTCCTGACTACCTAGTTTTGCTAGCCTTGGTGACATGTGAGCATGTACCCACCAACCCAGCACACACATGCATACAGCATGCACACTCAGATCTTAAGAGTCTCCGGATGGGCAGTGAGTTGGTTCCATGGGTAAAGGGGCTTGCCACCAAGCCTGCCAACCTGAGTTCAATTCCCGGAATTCACGTGAGGGTAAAGGAGAACTGACTCCTAAAAGTTGGACTCTGACTTCCATATGTGTATGTGGCATGTTTGTGTCCACACACACACACAATCAATCAATCATCATCCAATAAATGTAAAAGGAAAAATTGCCTCAGGATGCTTCAAGATCAGAAGAGTGCAGAGTAGAGTTTATCAGAATTTATTCTGACCTGTTTTAATTAAGCATTTCTTAAGTTTGTGATTAGATTCAGTCATCCAGTGTGGGATGAGACATGGGTTGTCGCTGACATCAGATATGCCTGACGAGAGCAGTGCAAATGAAAGCACTTCCTTATTTCCAAATAAGTCCCTGAGGTCAAAGGTCAGTGGAGTGATTATGGGGAGATCAGGGTCAAAGGTGTGTCTTGCTCTGTCCCTTTAGACAGGGTCCTGCCGTGTAATCCAGGCTGACCACAAACGCCCTCCTGCCTCAGCCTCCCAAATGCTAGGACCACTACACCTGGCTCCTTGTTGTGTTAGGGGCTGTCCTCAGAAGTCCAGCATTCCTTAGCTCTGGATTAAATTTGAGAAGGAAACATTAGGGGCTGGAGAGACGGCTCAGGGTAAAAGCTCCAGCTGCTCTCCAGAGGACCTGAGTTCAGTTCCCACCATCCACGCAGCAGTTTTAGGAGATCCCACACCTCTGGCCTTCACCGGCACCAGGCGTACAGTGAGGTTAGGAAGTGGTGACACTGTGGTCTGTGGTGTGCTGGGCTAAAGGAAGCCCTGAACATTGTCGCCAGTCCTGCCAGACAGTGCTCGATGTGGCCCCTCAGGGGTGTCAGACAAACCCTGGGCCCAGAGCTCCCGCAGGAATCAGCTAGCACTCCGTGCATCTGATCACAGATGGCGTCACAACCTACAGCAAAGCCCCACAGTGGTCTCTAGCAGCTCCAGAAGAGGCAAGAGTCCCGAAACCTTTTCAGCCATCCTGAGAGGACCAGTCATGGCTTAACGTTGTGAATTCCTCCCTCTCTCCTTCTTTCCCTTCTCCATCGTTTCCTACTTCGTGGGCTCAGAGACTGCTGTTCCTCAAGCAGGTCAAGGGTGGAGATGGGTCTTCAGCCACTTTGTGTCTCTGTAATCCGGTTAGTTCAGTATGGAGTCAGGAGATACACAGGTCTCGTGAGGCGTGCAAGCAGCAAGGAAAGGAAAGAGATAGTGTCATAGCACATACCTGTGATCCCAGCACTCAGGAGGGTGAGGCAGAAGGATGGCCACAAGTTTGAGACCAACCTTGACTATACAGCGAGTTGGAGACCTGTCTGAGGGACACACTGCCTCCAGAAAGCCAAGGGAAAAGGAAAAGGGAGTTAGCTCCCAGACCCATGTGGTCTCCAGTCCTCACCAGGGAGTGATGACAGCATGGCCAGCCCTCCTTCCCATAGGTTCTACATCCACAGATTCCGTCAGCTGGGAGGAGAAATTCTCGGGAGGAGGCTGGGATACAGAGCTTGCCTGACACACACAAAGCCTTTGGTTCAGCCCCCACTTCTGGAAGGTGGGGAAAGGAGAAAGGAAAACAGTTGAGAGGGTAAATCAATGGGCAGGACGGGTGCTTGGGAGCCACCAAGCCCACCTTGAGAGCGGCTGTTTGGTTGTTGGGTCTTTAGAGACAGGGTCTCTCTCTGCGCAGTTCTGGGCACCCTGGAATTCAGTAGGTAAACCAGGCTGGCCTTGAACTCACAGAGATCCGCCTACCTCTGCCCCCCCTCCCCCCTCCGCTAGGATTAAAGGTGTGGGCCACTGTTTCTGGTCTGAAAGCTGCTATTCTGAAGGACGCATCGCTGAGCACAGAGTAGACAGAGATGGCGCTCGGCTTGCCTTTCTTCGGGCTCAGGTATGGACCACTACGGCTCATTCATTCTCAGACTGGCCGAGAACCTGAGCAAGGAAGGGATGGAGGATTCACTGGGTCTATAGACAGAGCAGAAATTTTTCTCTAATCTGAGAGAAATCAGCCTCCCTTTCTCTGGAGGAGCTTACTGCAGGCTTCCCCTGGTTAAAGGGATTCTCTCTCCTTACAAGCCCCCTGGACCCCAAACACTGATGTGACAGGCCCACCTCTGTGTCAGCTCTTAGACCCTCTGAAGACAGCTGGGCCTCACCTTGGCTGTAAGCATCGCCCCCCTGCTAGGGAATCCTCCTGCAGGGGCCAGTGCTTTTGTGAACAGAGCCGCCCTGTGTACCCCTGTGTACCGGAGCCCTGACTGAGATCTGGCTTCAAGAAAGGCGACTGCTGTTCTGTTGGGGGAAATGAGAATAGGTGGTTGGGGGTTTGGGTTTCGTTTTTGGAAGCCTTTGGGTGGGGCTTCCAAAATCCCCTCCACCCTAACCCAGCTGGAAGCCTTACTAAAGGAAAAAGCTGGAAAACAAGTCATTCACAGTAGAAGGAAAAGGAGGGAGGGGCTTAAAGGGGCGGCCTGAGAGGGTAAGGAAGGAAGGAAGGAAGCGAGCTCCCAGGCTCTGCCCAGACTT